GTTGTGAAAAGAATCTTATTTAGTTGTACAAAGTACTTCAGCCAAAATTTGGGAGCCACGTAAGAGAATTATATATATTAGATCAGAAACACATCATTAAAAGGCAGAATGCTTTGGTGTTTTCAAAACAAAGCAAACGTTGCCACCGGCGGAAAAGAAATACAGCCAAAATTCGGGAGCCACGTAAGAGAATTATATATAATAGATTTTGGCAGCCATTCCAGTTACCACGGTGTTCCGTTCAAACAGAAATGGCGCCAAACATAAGTCGCCAATTTCGCCAAGGGGCACTCTCAAGTATATTTTTACCCCTAACTCAAATCATTGTTGATCTTATAGGATGCCGGACGGTTTTGTTTTCAGAAAATTTTTCCAAAATTAATTGTTGTTTTCAGTATTACCTCGTAAAATATTTTTAACGACCGTACAAGTTGCCTTAACATGAATACAGGACTGTTCATTATTTTGAATAATGATGGTAGAGAGAGAGAGGTAACTCTCTCTCTCTCTCTCTCTCTCTCTCTCTCTCTCTCTCTCTCTCTCTCTCTTGCAATTTAAAAAAGAAAAAAAAAACATGTATATGTTTGCCAGGGGATGGCTACGAGTTATAACTTTCTGGCTGACGGCTTCCCGGAAGTTGCCAAGACTTGGCGATTGTTCTGCCACAGATCACGATACGAAAATAGCCCCTAAAATACTGTGTCAAGGGAACATTTTATCTTAATCCAAATAGAGGTTCATTTGTACTTTAAAAAGTGTAGTTAAATCTTAGCACCCATCATGTGAGAGACCATGTCGTCGTTAAGACACGGTTCCCAGCAGATCACCGAAGTCAAGCTTCACTGGCTACGGTCAGTGTGCGGGTGGGTGACCACTTGGATCAGTCTGCGTAGGGACCGAGGGTGTGCGGTATTGGTCCTCGTTAAACTGTGAAAGTGCTCGACTTCGCGCGCAGGTAGTCGGGCTACCGAAGCGGGGGTGCCATCCCCTCCGCAGAGGATCAAAATTGTGATGGCATGTCTTCGGATCATCCTCCGGGATGTTTCCCAGACCGTCGCCAATAGCCCATTGTGCAGCTCTAGTGCGACGTAAAGTAACAACAACAACAGCTAACTTCCAAACACGCCCATTTTAGAGCACTTTAGATATCGTCAGAAATTTGTTTACAATCAAATACGGAATTTAACAACTAGGGCAACAATTTTTTACAAGAAAAAAAAAGCTACTTTTGTAAGAGAAATGGCGATGAAGTGTATGAAAAGGCAACCATTTAAAGGAAATATGTAGTGTTACCAGGCGGGTCACATGAAAACTGATTATGAGTATTCGTATAAAAAGATTGGAATTTGAAAAGCCACTTAAAAATGGATAGAAAAAAGTAATAAATCATGTTGAAAAATCCATCGGAAAACACTGTAAACGCTAAACAAATACAATTCAATCGTAACGTGGAACAAAAATGAGAACTGAAATTAGAAATCGCGCGTGGTAACCTTATTTTTTAAGAGATTCAAAAACCTTGGCTCAAAAGACAATAAATAGATGATCGGAAAAAGCATGTGTGAGAGAACAGCCCAGGCTGTTTAGAAAGTGCTTTCGAAATTCAAGTGTCCTGATATCATATTTAAAATATCAAAACTTAGAGAACCATGCATGTGGTAAAAAAAATGTGATAAATGAGCCGAAAGAACTATCGTAACACGACGTGGATGCAAGATGGTCGGAATCGTCATGATTCAAGCGCATCAACATGTGATCACTCAAATTTGAAATTTGCATAACATAGTATTAACAGAATTCGAAAAACCTGGTAGAAACGGCTGAAAAAACGAAAGATAATTGAGAAGACAA